TCCGCTGGGTTCCGCGCTCGCATCCCGCATCCCCTGGTCACACCGGGCACACGGCTTCGCCCAGGGGGTGGCATTCCTTCTCGGGATTCGTGAGGCAGATATCTGCCTGTCCCTAAAGAGGGTTCTAGGGAGTGCTCGCTTGCTCAGCCCATTCTGAGCTCCGGGATTGGGGTGTTGATGGTTGGGTGATGGTTTGGCTAGGGTGGTGTTTCCCCCGCAGGCAGGGATRGAATCATGGAATGGTTTGGGTTGTAGGGACCTTAAAGCCCCTCCAGTGCCACCCCTGTCCTGTGCAGGGACACCTCCCACTGTCCCAGGCTGCTCCCAGCCCCAATGTCCAGCCTGGCCTTGGGCACTGCCAGGGATCCAGGGGCAGCCACAGCTTCTCTGGGCACCCTGTGCCATCCCCTCCCCACCCTCAAAGGGAACAATTCCTTCCCAATATCCCATCCATCCCTGACCTCTGTCAGCCATTGCTTCCTGTCCTGTCCTGTCCTATCCTTCCAGCACACATGGATGGATGTGACAGACTGACTGCCCTGCACACTGTCCACGCCTTCCTCAGCACTGTTTAACCATCACTAACAGTGGGCAGCATTGGATGTTTCCAACTCTTCACAGACCTTGTAGTCACAGCACTGACAATATCTCAGTGCAGGAGAAATTCCCAGGCAAACACATCTATTGATTTYCTTTCTAACATCCTTTGGATGGATTTGCCAGCAAGAAGGGTAKTACTCCACCAGGTGACAAACAGGCAGCCTGTGACAGTGGATGTGTCCTGGCCATAAGTCCCCACTGTCCTGCCCATGGTGGCACTAGGTCTGTCCAGTGAAGGGTGGTGTACGGGGAAGGTGGACCAGAACTGCCTCTTCCTTGCTTAAAATGCAAATCCCAGGTCCTAAATCAGGCCCAGCTGAGCAGCCTGTTGGTGGGGTTAACCTGCTGAGCCTGGAGGAATCCCTGCCTGGCTCTGTTCCTGCTGTTCCCRCTCCATCTGTGGAGCCTTCTCCTCTCCTTGTTCCAAGCATTTCTGCTCTYGAGGAGAGATACCACATCCTATCCCTGATATGGCTGCATTCTTGTGGCAAGTGGAGTGATTCCCAGTTTTGGGATGACTTGGGAATCTTTTGGAAGAGGTGCTGTATGAAATGCTGGACCACTAGCAAACCCATCTTCTCCTGGGAGCCCAAAAGGCAGCACAGCACTCCAGCACGGAGCCTTCAGGCATTCTGCTGCTGTTTTTGTTACAGGGGTGGTGTTACCCTGCTCCCTCATGTCCAGGCACCAGGAGGTGCTGCTGGTAACGCTGGAAGCCTTTCCCCACACCAGCAACTGCTGCATCCCGAGCAGGGACCCCTTTGTGCAGGCACTCACCCCGTGCTGTGGGATTGTAAAATCCTGGTGGAGCCCAGAGACTGAGCCAGGCACCCCAACAGGCAAATGGCACCTCTGCACACCCTGTGCTGCTCATCCTCCCTTTCTTGTGCAAGGCCTGATGCCTGGCACAAGGATGTTATTTTATTTATTTTGTGGTGGCGGTGGCTTTTTTTTTGGTGTTTTTTTTTTTTTTTCTTTTAATCCATATTTCAGACAAACAAACTAATAACTCCCACAAGTTGCCTTGATGCGTCCAACCGCATCCGAGGCTCTCTGCTCCCAAACAGCTGTTGCCAGGGTTCAGCTGAGTTGCCAGCAGTGTTAGTGACAGCATGTTCAGATTCAGGAGCTGATAAGGGATCCCTGTATCCTCCATGCTGCAGCTGAGTCTCCTCCTTTTTCCAGAAAGGACCTTGGGAGTGCCCTGGCTGTGGTCACCTGCAGAGCCCTTCGCCAGGAGCAAAGCAGAGGCTTTGCAGGAGTGTYCTGGGAGGTTATCCTGTTCTATATTGGTCATAAAAGCCAGGCTGAGCCTACAAGAACATGTGGGGTTTCTCCAGTTCGCTGCTGAGCCCTCTCCCAGCATGCAAGGAGCTGAAGGGATAACCAAAACTCATCTGAAATGCAGGACAGATTGAGGGACCCCAATCCCATCTTCCCAGGCTAGAGCTGCAATGGCAAGTCCAGGAATGTATTTTGGAGTGAAAAGCCTCTCAGAGCTGGAAAGCTCCTCTGTGAGATGCCCTGAGCGGTGGGTGGGGGCTGTGGGTGGGATGAGAAGGAAGCACTGTCTCCAGCAAGGAAATCTCCAGCTTTCTGGGGATAAGGCAGCTGAGCATGCAGGTGAGGAGCAGCATCTCCTCCTCACTGCCTCTCCCCAGCTCTGGAGGAGCTGGCTCACAAGCAGGGTGTGCTGCTGGTGCCCCCAGATAGGTTCCAATAGCAGGAACGGGGGGATTATTTTGTCAGGGCTGTACTTAAGCACCCCAAACTCATTGCACAAAAGCTACCAGGAGCTGCTGAGCATTGCTGATGACTTCCAAGTGTTTGTCTGGATGWGAGCTGGCAATTTGACAATGAATCCAGTTTCCCTCTGCTGAGCCACRCCCTGTTTCACTTTCCTGCTCTGGAGTTGTACCCAGAGCCCTCATGTGAGGGAACACCATGGATCCTTTCCAGTCTGCAAGGGAATCCTTTTTCCCAGTGCAGCTGGGATCTATCTGTTCTAAAGAGGATTAACTGCAGACAGCCAATTCCACCTTGCCATGAAATCTGCTCTGCTCCCAGCTCTGCCATGAGTCACYTGGCTCCGTGGTTAATCTGTCACTSAGCCCATGGCTGCTCTCAGTTTTCTACCTTTACCTCATTTGCAGAAATTTGTGCTTTCCCCCATGCATCTCCACTGCTGTTCCTGAGATGGCTTTGCTCCCCCTGGTTTGGGTTATAGTGGCCTATAATTCTTAGCTATAAAGCCAATAATTCAGAAGGAAGGTTTGATATCCTGTTGCCAGTCATGAGACAACTGATTCCACTCTTTCTTCAGCCCTGTATTCATGTCCTGCCTTAAAACATGGCTYCAAATCTTCCTTCCCCATGGAGGATCTCTAAAGCTGCTTCTGCTCTGGTAAAGAAGCTTTGCAGCCCAGAAGTGCAATTATTTCATTTCTCTTCTACACAAACTTCAGTAAGGATATTAAAAAAAAAATGTTACTTTTATTCTCAAGTGAGAAAATTCTCATGGTATCCCCCTAAAAATTCCTTCTTTCTGAGCCACCCTGTTTTTCAAGGCTTCATGGCTTTCCCTTATGAGACTTGAAGCTGCCTGGAGCTGATCTTCTAGAAAATAATCTCTTCAGGAAGCAGCTTCAGCTCCCATGTCTGGGTACACCAGTGTCTCCCTAGATGTTGAAACATCTCCCTACAGCCMTGTTTTAATTTTTCTTAGCAACTGCCCTCCTTCTATTCCACTAGAACACGGGTTGGTTGGAATTTGCTCATTCTTCCTGTGCACAGAAGTGTTCCCTGACAGCCAGAAAGCAGGGAAGGGCTRTCCCTGCCCTCCAGGGCTCTGGGAGTCATCAATGAATGCTGTTTACTTGTATTTCCAAATAGCTTGTGCCTTGCCAGATCAGTTGCATGTCACTGCCAGCCGAGCGTGTTGAGACAACCCTCGTTCCTCTTCAGCTCCTGCTGGGGACTGGGAATTCGTTGCTGGAGGCACAAGCCATGAGGTGGAGAAGGCCTTTTCTTCTGTAGGTGTGTCACCAAAGTTGGGCCTTCTTGGATCAACCCATCTGCAGACAAAGAGTTTAAATGGAAGTGCACAGGACAGGCACTGGAGCCATGTTTCCTTTGCTCAGGTGTGATAATTCCTTTGGCCTTAGCAAGAGTTTGGATGAGCACAGAACAAAGTAAAGGCTTTCCAGGTTTGTTGCCTTGTGGTTAAGACCACCAGGAGCTTTCACAGTGGGTTTCAAAGGTCTGAATGCTTCCTGAAAGCAGAGTGTTGGCAGTTWGGTTTTGGTAGTGGCTCCRTCCAYTCTCCATGCAGTGAGTTTGTTTTCATACCAGCTTTCTTCCCCTGCCAAGGGACTCTATCCCTCTGTGTAGTCTTTTTGCAGCCTCTTTGGGTCCATTTCAGTGCCCTGGACAATGTGTCACTCAAGGATTGCAGGTATTAAATGGGGCTAGTGGTGGGGTGGGGATAAGGGCACTCAGCTCCTTGGCCTGCTCCCTTTGGGGATGCTTCTCTTTGGCAGGGAGGATATACTGASGTGGTTTTGTCTCATTTTGGAACACAGAAAGTGGATAATCAAGTTAGAAAAAAGAAGAACACGAGTTAGAAAAGAAAAGAACAGTCAACTCTGTCAGTTTAAAACTGCTTGTCTGGAAACGCTCACACTCCCAAGCAGTGACCTGCAAGTCCTGTTTTCTTCCTTCTTTCCTTGACCTTTCTGTTTTGCTGCTCCCACCTGGCCTACACCTTCAGCAGCTGCATTTATCCTGGCTGCAGCACAGYTTGGCTTTGGGAAGAGCACCGTGCYGGGATTTGTTTAACGCTCTTTGGTTTCTCCCCTCTCCCTAACCCAGAAACGACCGAGCTTGGGAACAAGAAGGAGCTGAAGTCCATGCCCTTCATCACATACCTGTCAGGCCTGCTGACAGCACAGATGCTGTCTGATGACCACCTCATCTCGGGGGTGGAGATCCGCTGCGAGGAGAAGGGGCGCTGCCCGTCCACGTGCCACCTGTGCCGGCGCCCRGGCAAGGAGCAGCTCAGCCCCACGCCGGTTCTGCTGGAGATCAACAGGGTGGTGCCTCTGTACGCCCTGATCCAGGACAACGACACCAGGGAGGTGAGTGAGCCCGTGAGGGGCCAGCCCTGTGCTGTGACACCGCGCTGTCCCCTCTCAGATCCCCTCTGCACGTTCCCTGGAGTGAGGTGGTGCTCAGGGAAATGCTGTGGGATGGTGCTGGTGATGGAGCTGGTCCTKCTGCCCACCACCCACAGCCCTCCCAGACCTGCATCAAAGCCTTCAGTGCGGTCAAGGCAATGTCAGGAGCAGCCAAGGCCACAGCCATTCCCAGTGTYGGTGCCGGTGCCCACAATTTGTCCYGTGGAGAGGTCTCAGGAGCCAGSAATCAGCTCAGTCCTCCACTCTGAGAACTCGGACATACCTTTGGGAGTGGTGGCCAAAGAAAGCACTCCAGGGCTCTGCAAAGGTTCAGAGGGAGGGAAGAACCATCCCCTTGGGACAGTCCCACAGCCACAGGAGGTCACTGTTACTCCAGGAGGGGCCAGCCAGGCTGCAGGTCACCCTTCCCTGGGGCTGGGCTCGGTGTTAATCCTATGGAGATTGATTTCCCACTTTCTCGGTTCGCTGCCACTCCCACCCCCCTCTGCAGCCCTCTGACCCCAATCTCAAGCCCAGAAATGACAGACCTGCTTAAAGTCACTTATTAGCACTGAGCCTGCACTTGATTAGGATGTCTGGAGCAAGCCAGCGCGCGGCAGCTGCGGGTGGGACACAGAGGGCTGCAGGTCAGGAAACAGCTCTGGCACATGGAGGTGTGGCCACCAGGAATGGTGCTCCATCCCCTCCACTTGGGGAGAAGAGCCCTCATGTATCTCCTGGTACCCGAGTCTCTTATGGACCTGTCCCTCCTTGCCTACCCTTTGGTCTGGTTCCTGCTTTCCCATTTACCAACCCTCYTGGTGCTTGCATGAAGCTGTGCCKGACTTCCCCACCTCAGTTCYCCTCTCTTTCYRGGTCTTTTYCCCAAACTCTCTTTCTCCCACTGTGTTTTCTTCCTGCACTCTCTGCCCACCCATGCCTGTTCTTCYCTCTGGGTCATTCCCATGTAGATGTTTTCAGCATTCCAGGGCAGTGCTGGGATGAGCATCACAGGTACAGGGAGATCAGGGGTAAGGCTGGTTTCCTTCGAGCAGGGAGGATGTGCTCCCCAGCAGCAATCTGCCAGGACACATTCCTTTTGGGATACAGGACGTAGGTTCATCAAGGAGGGCTGGCAGTGAAGAGCCCAGCAGGACATGAAGGATCTCCATGAGCCCTGCTCACCACGCTGTGCCCAGTGGCAGTGCCACCCTGCCTCTCGGGCTGCAAGCTCCCTGCTTCTTCCTCCTCCTCCTCCTCACCTGTGCCCCCAGCCCTGTTGACACTGCTGGGCTCGCTCGGGGCGCCTCCTTGTCCTGGGGAGCTGGATTTTGTTCCACCAGCAGCCTCCCTCCCTCCCTCCYTCCCTGCTTCCCTCCCTCCCTGCTCCCCTGGCTGCAGCCAGGGCTGGCCCCATCAGCTGCAGCTGGAGCTCAGCCCGCATTGTGCTTTCTGCTGAGGCGCCGGGAAAACCGGCAAACAAACAAAACCCCAACAAAGCAACCAGAGCAGAGACACCCCAGCAATCCTCAGGGGGCTGTGCTGCCTGCATCCCTCCTCATCCTCCTCCACCTGGACATCCCCTGGGAGCCTGTCCCTGTGTGAGGGTGCTGTGTGTGAGCTGTCCCTGGGCAGGGCTGGGGTTAGAGGTGATGGGGTGGGGGATCTGGGCAGCTCTGGGGTGGAGCTGGCAGTGACAGCACAGGGGCTCCTGTGCAGTGACAGCACAAGCCAGGACAAGTCACTTTGTGCCATCCACAGCGGAAGGTGCTGGGGTGGGAGCAGGTGGGGTCACACTGTGTTCTCTGATCACCCCTCCTGGCTAGCTCTGCTGGTTTTGGCTCTGCTGATTTTGGCTCTGGGCTTCTCCGGGCAGCAGACCCTCTAATCCCCTTCCTCCCTACAACCCACCCAAGGCCATCCCTGCCCGTGCTGCAGCAGGACACAGGGAGTGCTTTCTGCCTTTTCTGCCCCTCCTCTGCCCTGCCATTCCCATTCCCTCAGCACGAATCCCTTGTGTTTCAGCTCCAGCACTTTCCTTTCCCCTCCTTGCTCTCTTCTGATGACCTGTCCTGCTCCCTCCATCCCTTCATCCCAGCTTGTTCATCCCCTTTCTCTCCACCAGCCTCTCTCCTGCAGATTTTTATTCTCACCCTCTCCCTCTCTTGCTGTCGTGGGCAGGGACCAGTCCTGGTGTCTGAAGGCTGAAATCCACCATTGCTGAGGGCTCCACCACTGCACAAACCTCTGCTCTCTGCTCTGGAGGTTTTTCGGGGCAGCCTGGGCTGGGCAGAGCTGAGCCTGCCTCTCTGGAGGATGTGGAGCTTGTGGGGCCATGTCCCCGCCCTGGAGAGGATGGTTTGGTGTGGGGTTAGTGCTGTCTGTGGAGAAGGTGTCCCCATCCTCCGTGGCACCCTGAGCTTGAGCACAAGGGATGCTCGTGGGGACAGGGATATGGCCTTGCCCTCACCTTCCCTGGTGAGCAGGGTGGGTTACCATGAAAGGGAAARGGTTTAGGGGTGCTAAAGAGCTGCCACCACCATGGGGACATCAGCCTGTCACCAGGACCCAGCAGAAAGCCAGAATGCCACAGCTTAAACAGTGATCATGCTCTGTGTGCTGAGAAAGGCTCCCACAGGGTGTGTGCCACCAGGAACAGCTCATGTGCTATCTGGATGATGAAATACCCATTTCCAGCACCAAACAGAGCACCAGGAGTGTTCCAGGGTGCAGAGTGGTGTTCTCTTGTGTGATAAACAGGATTTTAACATGCCTGGGCTGAATGAAGTCCAGCAKCTCCAAGCCTGAGTGCTCCATTGCCTGCATTTCTCCCTTTGTGTGGGTGATCCTCAATCAATACAGCAAGTGCTGGCATTAGAGGAGCTGCAGRCACATCCCATTTCCACTGTAATGTTAAAAAAATAATAATTGTAAACACTGTTCTCTTTGTATATGTGTCTACAAAGATACTGCTGTGCATACAGGCAGAAAGCAAGGTCATTAACAAGGTGAATATTGACTTTATAAACTTGCAGAARGTTTTCCTGTATAAGCTGAGCAGCAAAGATGGAGCAAATCACAGGTAAAGCCATTTTGCTCTCTCCAGGATGTGTATTTTTTTTAATAGGTTTGTCTTTTCATCTGCCTCAGTGCAGTGAATTATGCTCTTTTTAAAATTTACAGCAACTGCCTGGTCCAAGGCCGTGTTCTCGGCTGCTGATGACCTTGCCAGACTCTTAAGTGCTGGGGTTTCAGTTTCCAAGCTGGGTGTCTGCTGTGGGCTGATTTGTGATTTTTCTTTGTGTGCATGTTTGATTTCAKCTAAAACTGACCACGTCCAAGCAGRAGATGAGGTGAAAAYATATTACTTTGCCCACGCAAAATGAGTTAGAAAGCTCTTTATTTCCATGTCACTGGGAATTGCTGTTTTCTCCTCACTTTGAAGCAAGAGCCTGAATGTAAAGGACTCCAGGAGTTTTGCCTTTTGCTGCCCAGGGAGCATTAGTCCAGAGGAAATGTCCTTAAGGAAACTCAGTCACCTGGGGASATCCAAGTACTCCAGATATTTTATAGGGTCCTTGCTGTTGTGCTCCTCAGTCTGCATGCTCCCACTGGGAGTTCAGAAGGTGKAAAGAGAGGGGCTGTGACCATGGTTGTCACCTTCCAGGGGCTTCTCTGGAGCTCTGTGGAACCTGCATCAGTTTTGTCAATGCCAACAGCTYTCCTCTGTCTCCTTTGTGCTTTTCAGCAGAGCTGCCTGTGGTCCTTCCATTCCCTCCAGGTGAAGCTGGAGGAGATTCCCCACTGCAGGGTTGTGGAGGAAACCTCCACCAGTGGCAGTGGCTGGCCAGGTCCAACAGCAAAGATGTTGGTGGGGATTTCTGCTGGCAAAATGTCCCCAGCATCTTGAGGGCTGGGTGCTGCTGGGTGTATGTGGTGGGAGAGAAGGGAAGAGAAGAGAAGAGAAGAGAAGAGAAGAGAAGAGAAGAGAAGAGAAGAGAAGAGAAGAGAAGAGAAGAGAAGAGAAGAGAAGAGAAGAGAAGAGAANGAGAAGAGAAGAGAAGAGAAGAGAAGAGAAGAGAAGAGAAGAGAAGAGAAGAGAAGAGAAGAGAAGAGAAGAGAAGAGAAGAGAAGAGAAGAGAAATGTGATATACCCAAGTGTTTTCCCTCTTGGGAACACCCTGGAGTCAAAGAATAGGATACATCATGCCAGTTAGAGTCCCTCCAGGTTGTGGTGACCTTCCTCCTTCACTTCAACATGTGCTCCTGCCAGCCCTCACCCCACAGGGTGGGCAGCAGCTTTCTTACTGCCCAGCAGGGCCCTGGAGGGTGCCCAGAGGCACAGGCTGAGAGTGAGAGCCCAGGTCTGCATCATCTGCATCRTCTACAAACCTCCTTGTCCCTTGTCCCTGCTTCTCCCACCCCTCCCAGGAGCATCTTTGACAGGGACACACGTGTTCATGTCCGGAGCCACAGGGCAGTGTGGCCAGTGGAGGGGAGGCAAGAGAAGGCATGTTGGGCAGCGTGGTCCCTCCTGTTCCTAGTCTGCTCATTTTTTCCCCCAAAAACCCCCTGAAGCAAGCTTCTGTGGAGCAGCTGAGGCAGCTGCAGAAGTGCTTAGAGGGTGGTGTGCTGAGAGGGGTGTGGAGAAGGGAGGCAGGAGAGATCAATCTCTCTCCTACTGGGAAATGGACTCAAACTCCTGCTGTGTGTGTTTAAGGAGACAAATGGATGTGGAGCCTGGATTTTTAGAAGACCCCTAGGACCTTGCTTTAATTCGAAAATTGAGTAATCTCAGCATTTGCTGCAGCCACGGCCTCCTGGCGGCACACGTGGCCCAGCCCGTGGTGTGGGGGCTTKCTGGGGGGCTCGTCCCTGTGCTGCTGCTCCCACTGGCCCCAGCAGGAGCCCAGAGCMTGGCTGGGACATGGCAGGGCCACCAGCTCAGATGGCAGCTGAGG